TTCTGCATGGAGCACTGGGTGTTATGCCCAAACAATGAATCATAGAACACTACATCAAAAACTAATGATGTAATGTATGGTGATTAACATAACAAGAATAAAATTAAATTAAAAAAAAAAGAATCTAAGTGAAAGCAGTTAGAACAGAGACAGCCATATCATCAGCACCATGTACCTGTCCCTTAAATAGACTAACATCTAAAGAAAAAGGAAGAGATCCTGGTCTTCGCATGGATTTTTGTGATGAGAAAGTTTCAAAGCTCTTTGAAGTCCGGAAGTGTTCTGCAAAGGGAAAACATTTTTATCAATGTGAGTGCATTGTTGAGATGCTAGACTCTAGACTCGTCCACCAGGTGTGACCAAAGTGACCTCATACCTTGGAGAATCAACTGATTTCTGAATTAGCCTATATGGAAACCCTCAGACAGCAGTCCCTATCACCTAGTGGGTGCTCAAGAAATATTCCGTCCTTTCTGTTTATCCTGCTCCTTTCTGAACCTGGTCTGCTACTGAGTCTCTTTGGGGTCCCTCCATGGTTGTAAATTCACCCCACTTGCCTTTCTTCTTCCAACAGAGATTTCCTGGGGACAAAGGAGGCATCACTGCTGCTGATGGCCATGTTCCTCCTTGCTGTGTTCTACCATGGACAGCAGGTAATCTAACACTTTGCTCAAACTCCCCTCTGCTACCTGGCATTTCCCATTACCGTGAAACTGACCTACAACGCTTCTGCTCTTCCTTGCAGCAAATGACCTATCAACTGCTTACAGGAAGTGGTGATTCTTAATGAATCGATTCCTAATAAAGACCACCTAATTTAAAAAACTAAGCTGGAGATGACGATTTGGCAAGCCAGGTGGTTTTTATGTCTTTCAGGTATATCTCTTTCAAAGAGATCATTGTTATGAAAAAAAAAAAAAATGCTTTCAATTTCTGCCTGAGGCAAACCGGGATCTCTCCCAGTTCCATTATTGCCTACATAAAGTCATTCCTGGAGAAGTTGTGTGCTGGTCTAGGGAACCATGCAGGTGTGAGGATCAGTTGAGCCAGGGTCTTAATCCAGCCTCTGACTCTCAGTTTGTGGCCTTAAGCAAGTCGCTCATCTCCCTGAAGCTAGAGGTCTTCCTCAGGTGTGAAATAGGATAACAACACCTGGATGGGTCCGTTTTGAAGAACCATTTGAGATTATCATGTGCAGCATTTTGCGCACTGCCTCACATAAGTATAGGAAATGCTTCATTCCTTATTTGTCTCAAGCAGATAAAGTGCCTAAAGTATATCGATGCCACTTCCCTATGAGCCGCTACTCTGCTGGGATCTGGGGTGGGTACTGTGGCTAGCTCTGTATAAAACCCCATCCCTGGTCCCAAGGGTTCCAATCTCCTGGAGGAGAGCAGACCCTAAATAATGTGATGAGGGACCTGCTATGTGCGGATCAGGCCATCCAAGGACTTCAAGAGTTGGAGAGGCAAGAATTTATTCTGCATGGGAGCGTGATACCAGGCTTTGCCTAGGGGATTTACCTGCTGTGGCCAGTAGGACATCTCCATGTGGACTCAGACCATGAATGCTGTGGTGTTCATCAACAGGGGAGATTTTCTCTCCCTGGTAGAGCCAGGTCCTGCCAGATTCTCTGCCCTGCCCTGGATCCCTGTCCATCTTTCTTTGATCTGCATGCACTTCAAAAAAAGTAACCAGGAAAGGAGAAAAACAAAACAGGAAGAGTCTCAGCTAGAGCAGAAATAGAAACATAGTGCTGAGAAATCACCATGAAAACGCGGAGGTAATCAACCCCGAGAAACCCTGAAACAGCTCCAAACCCCGAGAACCTAGAAATACATACAAAGTGATGTGTAATAAGGGGGATGGTAACATGTAGTCAAGGTGGGAGAAAGACAAGTATAAAGACTTAATAAGGAGGAAGGGTTAGTGTGTATCAAGTTCCTACTCTGTGCCTCTATTATCTGTATCATCCTCCCAACAACCCGGAATGGTAGTTACTAGCAGTCCTGTTTCACAGATGAAGAAAGTCATGCTACTCATCTAGTTGGGGGGTGGGGGGAACCAGTTTCAAACCCAGATCTTTCTCCAAAGCCCACCCTTTCCACTTCTCTAGAGTGGAGAAAGAAAGAAGTTAGCATACCAACAAAATGGCCCCAGGCACTCAATCTTGCAGTGTGACTTTGATTTGGTTTTAAATTTGAGCTGAAATCATGGCAAAATAATAAGCCAAATATCAAAATCTAGCCATTTCCAGAATTCCTGTATTTAGGTATTTCTGGCCATCTGTCAGAGCTGGGGTCATATCATCCACGTCTCGATGGCTTCTGGTTACAGAGGAGAACTCCTTAGTCTGACACGCAAACAGCAATCCATCTGAGGGCTATGAAGACGGAATCAGACAAGGCGATCCTACAGAGAAACATACCCACCCTCCACCCCCCATGTTTGAAGCTGAGGAATGAGCAACCCCACTGAGATAACTAAGAGAGAGCAAGTTCAGAGTGAGGGGCTCATTCCACAACAGGAAGGATGCTCCTTCCTCCTCTGTCACCTTACAGAAGTATTTTGTGCCCTGACAGTGCCCCTTCCTCAGGACCCCTCTAACATTCTGATTCAATTTGTTCTATGCCCCGTTTGTCCTGGGAAACAGACAGCCTAACCATGTTAAGATTATGTGTAAAGTAAGAGTATATCTGTGCATAGTGAGGATCCGAGTGCTTAAGTGAAATCTGATATGGCTCCTTCTTATTTTTAACTTTCAAAAGGCTCTAAAATTACATAATCACATCCCATAATGGTAGCAGTTTCAGGTCTATAGGCTTTGGAGTGGGGAAGAAGTATTCAAGCCCCAACTCTGCCACTTAGTGGCTATGCGACCTTCAGCAATTTACTTAACTTTCTGAGTCCCAGTTTTCTCGCCTATAAAATGGGTGTGCTAACAGGTTCTACTTCATAGGGCTGTTATAAGATTATACAAGAATGTAATTGTAATATACTAATCCCAGTGGTTTGCACATAGAATATGTTTTCAAAAATCCTAAGCTATGGATGCTTTACTTTGAAAACAGGTCTCTGAGACAAACAGGGAAAGTATTATTATGCATCTGGTCCCAAGTCACCGAGGTCTTAAAGCCAACAAGGAACACCAGGTAGAAACAGGAATCCAAAACTTCCGGGTCTGTTCTCTCCCCACTGAGTGCCCCTGTCTCTCTTTGCGAGAGGAGTCTTTCTGCCTCACCTGCATCACTTCTGTGTCCTCTGTCTACCGCACCTGTCAGGCTCCTGTTTCTCTGAACCCAAGTCTGCCTATCCCTGCGTCTGCTACCTGCTTCCACCAGTTTCTCTTTTGGGGACTCAGAGGCCCTTAATTTTTTTAAAGGTTGAATGGTGCCCATCGATGCCTGGTACACAGCAGCAGCCTTGGTAGGAGCATGTATAATGAGGCATCTCCAGAGGGACAGAGGGACTTATATAACTGAACACTTGGGAACTTTCATCTTGTCCATATGCTGAAGGTCTATGCCATTCCTTCCTCCTCCTCCAAGGCAGGTGAATGTTCTAAACGGTGGAGAGACAGAGAGCAGTCAGGTGCCTGCCGCCTCGCCTGGTTCACTTGCAGCCCTGAGGTGTGGGCTTGGCTCAGGGGCTCCATTTATAGCAGAGGAAGCCGTCTCTGCACACAGGGACAGAGATTAATGAGGTCTCCAGTCACTTACTTCCAGGTCAGATAAAGACAGGCACCAGGACTGTGTGGCTTAGAAGGAAAGACCCAAGCATTGGAACCAGGTATTCTTTTTTTTTTTTTTTAGAGAGAGAGACTAAGAGAGAGAGAGCACATGGGGCAGGGAGAGGGAGAGAGAGAATCCCAATCAGGCTCCACACCCAGTGTGGAGCCCCATGTGGGGCTCCATCTCATGACCTTGAGATCGTGCCCTGAGCTGGAATCGAGTCAGATGCTTAACCGACTGAGCCACCCAGGCGCCCCTGGAACCAACTGGGAGGATGGGTGACATTGAGAAACTCAAGCCCCTCGAGCTCACATTCCAAATTACCTGTAAAATAAGAAGGATAATAGTTCCCTGCGAGGAGTTGGAGAATGGCTCCATGAGGTCAAATACATATAGAGCAGGGGTTAAGTCACAGCTTGGCGTCAGAATGTTCTGAGTTCAAAGCCAGTCTCTATTTGTGAGCCCTTGGGCAATTGACTTTGCCTTACTGTGACTCCCATTTCCTCACCTGTGAAATGGAAATAATAAAGTATCCACCTTGTTGAGTCGTGTGACTAAATGAGCTTCGGTATACAGGAAGGGCTTAAAACAGCGCCTGGTCCAAGGCAAGAGCCGGGCCAGTGTTAGCTCTCATTCTGTGCTAAGAGCCTGGCACAAAGCTTCTGAACAATAAGTGTTGGTTCCCTTGGTACTCTTCTCATAGAGCCAGTTCCCTAATAGTCTGGTGAAAATCAAGAAAGAGATTGCACTTCCAAATCCATCAACAGTTCTTGAGCAAATGCTGAAGAATTTTCACTTTTAAAGCTTCTGTGTGCCTTCTGTGTGCTTTGCCTTGCTGTCCACGCCAGCTCTAACCAGTGTGTTGAAATGTTCTCTTTCCTTAACATGTTCCTCTGTCTTTCATTTTTCTCCCTTCACCACTGAGCTGAGAGCAAATCAAAGGCAGAGACTGAATTTCACGCATCTTTGTATGCCGAGCACCGTGCACAGAGTAGGTGCACAATGCACTAGATCTTTAGTAAACTGGAAAGGCTTACTTTCCTCCCCTGGAGATTAAATAAGCGATGCCTGCCTGCATGAGACTTGCTTTGTCAAGAGACAGAGCTGTCCTCAGATTAGAGTCTCCTTATGGACATGTCTTCAGCGCAGTGACCAGCCGTCGCCTGGCTGAAATGCAAAGTGTGTTCTTAACTTGTAACTGAAAAATCCTGGCTGAAATCAACTCCAGGACTCAAGGTTTCCCTACCTGTGTTTCCAAGCTGAATTCAACCAGATGAAAGGTTTTCAATAGAAAATAAATAAAAAATGATCTGCTTCAACCAGGCACGCATTTTTAACGGAGATAACTAAACATTTCATTTGGGTAAGAAAATACTGTCCTACAACTTGACAAATTAAAATTTGATGCTCTTGAATCTGGAAGGAAAAAAGCTAAAGCACAGCCTTGATCTGACCTTATCCACTGCTGCCTTAAGTTGAAGTAGTACCTTATAAATCTATAGTTGAGACAGTTCAGAATTCTTTTGCATGCAGAATGTGATTTGGTCCATATAATAGATCCATATAATAATCCATGCCTCTTGAACTAGACATGATGGGGACAGTTATCCTTATTTTTTTTAGAAGGGGAACCAAAATACCAGAAGTTGAATGACTTTCCCAAAGTCATACAACAAAACAGTCAAGACCAGCATTCTTTTTTTTTTTGGTAGTTAATACGAATTTTATTTTTTTCCCTTTTTTTTTTATTATGTTATGTTAGTCACCATACAGTACTTCATTAGTTTTTGCTGTTCCATGATTCATTGTTTGCGTATAACACCCAGTGCTCATTGGAATACACGCCTTCCTTAAGACCAGCATTCTTTTGTGCAACATGCTGCCTCCACTCATTTTTGTTCTTATGGAAAATCTCAAACATATACAAAAGTTTATGAAGTGCATAATAGTCCCACAACTTCAACTCCTGTGTCTTTTCTCGCCTATCTCTCTATTCATTTTGCTCATCGCTCCTTCCCAGTTATTTTGAAGCAAATTCCAGATGTCCTGTCATTTCATCTGTAAATGCTTCAATATGCATCTAATCAAGATAGAGAATTTTAACCTAATCACAATGCTATTAGACACTTTAAAAAAGAAAATGGTGTTTCTCTAACATTGTCAAGCCTCTAGGCACTGTTCCAATTTCTTAATTGGTTTATAATTATATTTTTTTTAGTTTGTTTATTTGATTTGGGTCGCAAATAAAATCTGTGTATTGCCATTGGTTGATTATCTCCTAAGTCTGTTAATTTATAAGATAACTCTCCATATCTTTTTTTCTGGCAACATTTTGTGAGAGTCGTCCAACTTCTATAATGCTTCCCAGTTTAGAGTTTGTCGATTGCATCCTCTCAGGGCATTTAACACATTCCTCTGTCCATTGTTTTTCCTGTATTGGTAGTTATGTTTAGAAACTTGGTGAGATTCAGTTTCAATTTTTTTCTATAAAAATATGTTATTGGTTGGTTTTGTGAATTACTTTTAACAGGCACGTAATATCTGCTTTTCGTTTTTTCTATTAGCAACTATTGACAAGAATAGCCTCTATTCATTTATTATATAGGTGGTGATATCTCCATTCTATCAATAGTCCATAAGTCATTAGCTAGAATACAGTTTGAAGGAGAGCCTACTCTTCCAAGTACAGCTCATAAAGCAAAGGCAGGATAAATGATTAATTCTTTCCCTGTAACTGCATTTCCCCATAAATTTCCCAGTCAACCTGTCCCCAAGCACCATCCAGAGATGATCAATGAGGTTGTGTGTCTTAAGTGTCATTGTGAACTGAGGCATGCTACCATATTCCCTGTGTTTCAATCCATTGCAATCACTATCCTTTTTTTTTTTTAAAGATTTTATTTATTTATTTGAGAGAGAGAATGAGAGAGAGAGAGAGAGAGCATGAGAAGGGGGAGGGTCAGAGGG